CCCCCCACCTTCCTTCTTCTCCCCCTCGCCCCACCCGTTTTTTTAATTAACGCGAGCTCCACCGAAAGCCGAGATAAGGGATGGATCTCGTTAAGTCGAAATCGACAGCGTTACTCGGATTAATGTTCGTCGTCGCGATTGACGGCGATTTAACGACAGAGAGGGAGACAGAGAGAGAACAACACGCAAGTGGTATGACGTTATGATTCGTATGTCGCGGTTGTAACAATGATTAGATAGCGGGCAATTTGATCCCCGTCGTAGTTCTCCCGAGAATTACGGTCACACTTGCACACATAGCAGCGCTGTCTGCGATCTATTAACTTTCTGAGTTCATTAATTAAATAAATGACCGACATTAAAGCGTACTTGTCGTATTAATGATAGCGTGCTTTCGCTCGCGAGTCCAAATAATAGGTGGGAGCGAAGCGTGCTGGTAGTTCGAAGTGTAGCGCAGAACGGATATGGCGTGCGATTATTCGCCTATTCGGAGCGCGTTGATTTTTCCCTCCGGTCACGGGCGATTAAACAGCCGCGTTTCATCACACCCGTTTCTCTCTCTCTCTCTGTGTATGTGTGTGCACTCACGATCAAACTCGAATCTGTCATTTAGATCTGCGACTTACGTACCTTTCCAACGTTTGCCCATATGAAATCTAACAAGTCACGTATTATTTGCAAACCGTGTTGGAATTCATTTAAAATTACTGACCATGGGAAAGAAAGACATTGCGATTGTACACGATATGCAATGTGTTTCCTACATAATATTGCGAGGGAGAGAGAGAGAGAGAGAGAGAGAAACCAATAAAAGCGTGCAAACCGAGGTAAACGAAAAGGAGCAAGTTTTAGGGTCGGCTTTAATAAAGTCGAGTCACGCTTCATACAGGGAGATCTTTAAATCGTCTTCAAACAAACCCAGCCAGGTCCTTGATCGTTGACCCGCGATCCGTTTGTTATACATCTTGCCCTCGTACTCTCTCCTCTCCGTTCTCTCTCTCTCTCTCTCTCTCAACTTTCTGCTTTTCTCGGTCTTTGTCTCTTTCTTCGTATCGTGTGCAAAGCAGCCTCGCATGAGAGCGCGGCACAATGGAGGTATTAAATGGATGTAAGGTAGTGGGTAAAGCGGCGCTCTGACCAGAAACATATATATGAGTATCTCGAGCAACGCGTCACGAAAATGAAAGTGCTTCGCAAATATTGGTCGTCGTCGACCTTACGCGGTCTCGAGCCGACGAAGAGCTGGGAAAGGAAGCGAGGGAAAAGCCAAATCCTGTGTACATATTAGGGGCACCAATTCGGGTACTTTTTGGAAAGCTTTTTCTCCTCTCACCATTATCGACCAGTTTGACCGTTTGGGCGAAAAACCGCGGATGCATTCCGAAAGACAGGTGCTTTAGAAAACGGCAGACTGTCTCGGAAAAGTCATTGCATTACCTGGCTCGGCCCGAGGGAAATATCAATAAAATCATCTCGGCGTTCGACCGTCATAAGTTTATACGATGCGTGCCGACATTATTGCTGTTTCATATTTAAAGGCGCTGTAAATACCTTTGATAGACGATTCTCGCTTAAGTGGAAAAATAACAGTGATATTCACACGGAAACATTTCTCCGTCGAGGTTTTTAATCTAACGACTTTCTAATTTCGTTGTCCTGAAGCGGTAACTTCTCGTGATCGAAATTACTGTCGCAATCTTGCCACAGGCGAGAGATCCTCGTGAGGTTGACAGGTGAAATTGCTACACGGGGAGTCGAAATCCTTCACATCTTATTATGAATAGTAAGAAGCGGTACCCTTCGAGGGAAGGTATTTCTTCTCAAGGGCCCACTAATCGTCCAGATCGTCCGAAAACGGACGCGCGACTATTCAAGTGAGGCAGGTGCAACGTTTTAGAATAGCTCCCCGGGTTTGCCGAAAACGTGCGGAGAGTGGCGTATCCTGCGTTTATGTTCGCTCGAGCGAGGATGATCTCGCGTGAAAGGATGAATCACGTTCGGAGGAACTTGCGGTTTTGTGATTATACGGAATTATTCACTAACGCGACCATATCGAGTCACGCGGTAAAGACGCGGTGAGCAGGGAAAATGCTTCGTGGTACCGTAATAGATTCATCCGCGGGATATTTCGCAAGAGACAGTCTCCTCGCTGCCTTGAGACGCCTCGTACAATCGTACGATCGTGTTACGAACTGACCGTAGATAGAGCTCTTCGATTATTATCCTACGTGCCGATAGACTGGCGATCCGCTCGCAAGGGAATTATCATATGTTAATAAGACGCAGGATCCGCGCGAGAGCCCTGGCTACGCCTAATTTGCGCGGTAATCGCGATCTTTACTTGCACAATACGAAATTCTCAACGGCCATCGATCATCATTATTTATCGCTGTTCGCCAAATTCGTGCCGCATCGTACACGCACGCGGCTCTCACGCCGGAGCTCAATCCATTTCGCTTCATTACGGCGCTCCTCTCGCGGTTCCGAGGCTCTTCCTGACCCTGCCTTGAACTATGATTGGACACGTTACATCGATCCTCGTCGATCTTGATTCGCGTGCGCTCGCGTAAACGCCTCGCCGGGGCCTCTTCTCACCTTCGTCAATCGCGCTGACGATATCGCTCGTATCGGTCTTTCCGCGAGCAAAATGGAAGCGTATGAGAGTGAAGGAGACGCGCGTCGGTCGGTCGGTCGATC